GATGTACGTATTTTCAAATTCTATTGCATACCATTCATGTGTAAATAGGTAGTGCCATGTTCACCGCAACCATCGTAGAAACTTTTACTTCTACAAGTCTATATACATCTCATTCTGTAGTTAAAAGTCATCGAAAAATTTAGAATCGTGTTTTAAAATCTAATTTAGATGTTTAGTAACAACTATTAATCAAGAAACAGGTATTCGTAATGCAAATCAAGAACCATGGAAAACACTTCAAACGTAATTTCAAAATTTCAAACCTTTCTGTATATTTAATCATTTATTTGTGGGTGTTTATACAGATACCGGCGTAAACCAGATTTGTATGGTGTTAACGCACAATTCGGAATATATCTTGCAACTAATGAAAATGGTATAATCCGTGTTGGTGATCGTGTTCGTATTTTACGAGAAGATAAAAACTTTTAGTTTCCTCCTTTGGTTTGGTTGATGGAGCAATGAATTAATTTTAAAGTTTTTATTTTATTAAATAGAAAGAAAATAGATATATATAGTTGAAGACAGTTTTTGAAGAAGATTATTTCAATAAATAACGTTTTCTTTTGCATAATTAATCAAAAGATTTTCAATCCGGAACTGAGAAAATTGTTAGTTTGGTTCATATCTATATATTTATTGTATATGTAAGCATCTGATTCATTAATTTCGATGCTTCACATTTATAGTTCATAGTCATTATTGTTGAATAGTATCTATGCCTATAAATTGATTCGGATCAAGAACGTTGAGGTATTTATTTTTATTGAAATGAATGGCCAGCGCGTAAAATTATTATTTTTTTCTGTTTTCTTTCTTAAATTGATCACCCTTTTCTTTCATTTATACTGAATTCTTGAGGTACATGAAATACAATATAAATCAAAATTTTTATATTTTTTTCATACGAAAAATTTATCTATGAAATCTGTCAAGATATATCTTGGTTTAGTAAATATACAAACTCTGCTAAGGTACAGCACGACCTATCAGAGTTTACCAGATCTTGCTTTGTTTGTGTGTGTGCATGCTATCGTTCTCATCTTCATCTTGAAAAAATTAATTTTACACATAAGCGTCAACGCAGTAGTAATCACACATATGTGGATACTAAACTATCGTACAAATTCATGCAGCTTTGTTATCTCGTTCAAGAAAAAGCTGTCGCACCACCACTAGCGAAATGGATATCTATGCAATATTGATCTCATTTTCACGAAAATCTGTGCTCACTAATAATATAAGCCTACAACTCGCAGAACATTTGGAAGTGTTCTTCTCTTAGAGATTTGAATTTTATAAAATCCGATGGAATAAATAGAGACTTATTCAAGATTGTTGTCGATGAAATTAGACTTGCGTTAAAAAAAAATGATTTCAAGGGCTTGTTGATAAGAGCAGAACGAGTTTAGATAGTCTAGCATGTTTTCATAGATTTGATCGATGTTTAATTGACAAATAGCCAATGATTGATTTTTTGTTGGAAAAATTTCTTCGACAATTTCGAGTCCTTTGCTAAGAAACAGAGGGATTTGTGGACAGTTTCTTATCAAGATATATAGGCTCTAGATATTGTTATAGCAAATAGCTGAGTACAGATGATTTCAAATGTTTCTTCCTAAGGAGAACGCGCTAATGGATATTCATCTACTTTCATACAAATTTCATTAAGGGAAATGCATGAAGTAGCTAAATCGCCATGATTTGGATCAAATATTTTTTCGACAATTTTGAACGTGTAATCTCAAAACAATATCGTGTTCGAATACTCTTCCATACTGTGATATAATTCGTCAATTTTTTTATCGCAAGTAAATAGAAAAGAATAGAAATGTTGTTGTTATTATTGTAGCATTTTTATTTGTATGGAATAGCCTATCAACGATTAATTTTGGTCTATTTTTCCAAATCTGGATCGATTGAATTCAATTATAATAATATCTCATTCTGATATATTCCAATCTCAATTACAAGCTTTACTTGATCGAGCACCTCATCTTGATAGAATAAGTATTCACCCAGACAAATCATTACCCTTGCAAATATCTCTATTCAAATATACAAATCCATCAATTCGTAAACTCCGTTTGTATTATTATCATCATTTTAATGAGGAAGAATGTCTGTTATATTGAGTCATTCATCATTAGGTGTTCAATGTCAAATACTTTCTATTGTAGTCAAAAGTCGTAAAAGTATTATTATTTTTGTCAAAATTATGATCAATGTTCGAGCACTATATATCACTTGTCAAGATGAAAATAATTCTGAACATTTGACTTCATAAGAAAAAAACGATAACTTTTCCGATGGAAAAATACAAAACAAAGATGAACTTATTCAATGGTTAAAAGATCGTTTGTCAGCATCGTGTTTAGTCTTAAGAGATCTACTCTCTGCTATTCGATTTCGTATATGAATGTAAAAGTGATCATGAAAACTCTATAATAATTAATCAATGTTATTTTAATTTGTGCAAGTAATGCTTAGAATGATTAGACTCGATTAAAATTTATCTTTATACAAGATGAATCAATGATTCAAGACATCATTATTAATAGAGATTGAACAAATCTAAAAACAATGATAATTTAAGACACTTTTTGATCTATCTCATTTGTCTATACTCTTTCTTTTTCATTATTATATTGTTAATTTGAATGATGTATGCATTCAAACAAATATATGATACTGATGTTAATAAAAGTTCTATTAATAGTCCACATAATATGTTCTTCTGCTTTGATAATTTATTATGTCGTTGATATACCTTTCGATTCAAATCACTTCTTAGAGGTTACATGAAAAACAGACTGAAATCCATTTTATTGTTGTGACGAATGCAATGTTCATTGTGACAAATAAACACAGAGGTTTTAATTAGTGCGTAACAGTTGGAAACAAAAATTTAAAAGGTATTAACCTTCGCCATGCGCCATTGTTTTGCTTTAAATATTGTCGAACCATGATTGCATATAAAATGAGTCAAAGAAGTGGTATGTTTGTGTTACTCTCTATTTGTAGAAATTGATTCTTTCTACATAAATATCAATACTAATTAATCAAAACAAATAATGACAGAATAAACTTTATCATATCTGATTTTTGCATCTTTTCTTTCGTACACTACTATTTCAGAGCTATGGGAGACAACTAACAAGTTGTCGGTGTGAATATGGTTATGAGTGTGTTGTGGGTATGAGTGAGGATCTTCTTTGAAGTCAGCTCATACCCACTTTCAAATCCACATTCATACCCTAGACGTTGTCTTTCTCGTGTCTTTACGTTTTATACTTTTTTCTTTCGTTTCTTTCTTGCGTTCTTCGTAGCGGAAGAGCCGAAATTTCTAGACAAGCGTTGCTTTCGTGGCGGCTCTAAAATAAAATTAATCTTCTCAGAGATATTTCATGTTCTGTTGGGAACCCTTACAGGTGTGCAGATGGTAGGCCTTCGTAACATACATATATGTAAGTATGCCTATAGAGTTCATCTTCTCATTATCTTTTCCGAGACGATGGTTATGAATGTACCAGTCATACAAACTTAGATGTATGTGTGCCTAACCATTGCTGGCTTCTTCCATTGTAAGAATCGGCCGAATACCGAGGGTATCCCTTATCGTGGGTGTGTGAAATCTTGCAGTTTCTGTGCTTCAGTGAGCCAAACGTTCAAGAATGCCAATTTATTTTCTCATTTAAAAAGACAAAACAATTACATTTTCTTTTTTACATGTTCAATGTTTTCTTTCACCGAAACAATATCTGGATGATTTGGAGGCAGCGATTTTTCGAAGATCTCTCGTGTTCTTTCCAGAAATGAGAGTGCTTTTGAGTAGTCGCCCATGTGATAATACACCAAACCAATATTGTTGTAAGACGAAGCCAAGTCTGGGTGATTCGGAGGAAGAGCTATCTTCCGAATTTCAAGTGATCGTTCGTACGATGAAAGTGCTCTCGAGTAGTCGCCCATGTTACCATACACTTTACCAATGCTGTTGTAGGACGAAGCCAAGTCGGGATGACTTGGAGGAAGATTTTTTTTCTGGATTTCAAGCGACTGTTCGTACGACGTAAGTGCTTTTGAGTATTCACCCATGTGGTAATACACCTCACCAAGTTTGCCATTGTAATCTGCTCTATCTTTATCGGAAGATGCTTTTTCAAGGAGAATTCGGTAGAGCTGTTGTGCTTTTTGAAAGTCGCTTACATTTATAAGTATATGGCCTAGTCGAGACCATCCCGTCGTTTCAATAAGCTCAGTACGTATGTGTGTTGTAAGTGTGTTCAATTCGTGATTGTCATTTTCCACGAGAGTGAGATTCACTTCGTATAGCCGATCACATTCATCATTGTGAATATGTTCAATGCGATTGATGCGGAAAATAGTGTGTGTTGTAAAAAGTATTTCTGCTTCATCACCCTTGAAGTAGCCTTCTTTGCTAACATCGACGTAAGGTATTGATGATTTCGAACATATCAGAGGGTCGATAGACATTATGAAGAGAATGCCATACATACTGAAATTTTGTGCTGCACCATCGCGAGCAAATTGAAGGGACACTTGACGGTTCTCACTTGTGGAAAGAAAATTGTTGAAGGACATCAGTTCTCCTTTAGTTTGTTTCATTTTTCCGAAGTTTTCGAAGGATAAACCTTGTCCACGGAAAACTGTAAATGTTGTCATCGTCTCATTCTTGGATTGTTGTTCTTGATATAAATTGTCAATATGGTTATGTAAGTGTCGAATAAAAAAACCCATTCTGAGTATAATATCGACATCCATTAGTCGAAGGCCACGATTGAGCACTGAGTAAACAAAGTATGGTGCTGTATACCACCATATTGGTGTGTGGTCACCAGGCATCGTAGCAGACCCTTAAAATATAGGACCGTATGTCTACGTAATATATGAATAAATTTCAAAACTCCATGTAACTACACGAAATTTTGGAATTTGTTCATATATTACGTGGACATACGGTCCTATATTTTAAGAGTCTGCTACGATGCCTGGTGGTCACGATACTCACGCTCGATCTTCTTAATTTCGCCTTTATCAATATCACCTTGTTGATCACAATATTCAGTCAGTTCCTTAATCGAGTTTGTATCATCATCTTCCATATTCAAAAGTGCTTCTTTTAACAGTCGCGTATACATAAATAATGGATCAATACCATTAAAATTCATTGAGATCATCGCTCGATCACAGTTTTTACGGTCGATTTGCAATGCTTCACAAATCGGTTCAATTTTTGTGTACACACCCTTTACCTTGTGTATTTTGCTAGCCCATTGTTCATGAACCAATTGGTCGCCACAAAACACATATACTGATTCTAGTTGTGGCCATGTTTCAATTTCTGGTATAACTTGTCGACCCAAGGAGCCAGATACAATCATAAATACCTTTTCCTGTTCAATCTTACTAAGGTAATCAACACATTCTTCAGCATCCGTAAATGTTGTGATCGATGCAACAATGCGTCGTAGATGTTGTATCGAGTTTTTGAAATCTTCATTAGATTCATCAAAATTGGCATCAAGCCATACCAACAGAAAATTTTGTAGAACTCGACGAATAGGTCTGGGTAACACAGCAACACGATTGGTGGTGGTAGTCATCGCTAATGTCTTACTAGCAGCAGTTTTTGTCGGCTTTTATGTGTCCATGATGAATGAAGGAAGGATGAATGCAATAAGTAAAACGTTGTCGCTCTATATTTATATGGGTGTTTTATTCTTTTTGTTGATACCTTTTCTGCCTAACGGCTATGAACTTCAAGGGCTTCTTCTTTCGATCGTTCGTTTTTTTTCAGGAATGTGTTGCTGACGAAAGGACGATAAAGAACGGGCGAAGTTTATATGTGCCACGAGCAAGAACGAAATGAGCTAAAATGAATGAATTGTCGTCATTCATAGAAAAGAAAAAACTAAAAAATCATAAATAGAATTTTAAAATGTTATTGGTTGTTCTGATTGTTATTGATTTAGTTGTTAAGCTTTTTTCTCCTCATAGTAAGTAAGGTATTTTTAATGTGTGCTTTGCTAGACATATAGAAAGAAGAGAACAACCCTAGAGAATATACTGAGTTAAGGGTACCCAAAAAAGTACCCTGATACCAGTATGTCACAGGAACTTTAGGGTACCAAAGTACTTGCAGGTACTTACAGGTACCTAACTGGTACTTTGAAAGTACCCTGCTGGAAAATGCACAGTAATTGGGTACCTGAAGGTACTGATCAAGTACTGAATTGGGTACCATTGTATAGTATTTCTAAGTACCCTGTTACCAAATTTTCAGTATGTTCAGGATCGAACCTGATCTTTGACTCTTTAAAATTTTTTCTTTTTCTTGAGATAATTTACTACATTTTTTTACTTTACTCAATTTAATTTTTTCAATTCCAAAAACTTAGCAGGAACAATGTCGGAATCCGACTCAACTTGAGTTGGTCGTAGACCACTTCAGGGTAGTCCGATCTTAATTTACGACCATGCTCGGCATTTTCTTGACTAATAAATAGTCAAGAAATAATTTAGAAAACACTAGTATGAAAATTGATTATTTTCTTATGATTTATCGAGTTGTTTATATAGAGCCGTACGTAAAAAAGAAAACGGTGAATGAATAGTCGCCACACAGAACGCGAAAAATTTAGGATACCCTGTCGAGATTTCCTCAGTAAAGTTACAGACTTGTGTATCCATGCAGGTACTTATTCAGTGAATGTACTTTTACGGGTACCCCAAACAGTACATACATCAGTAAAATTACTGAGAATTTTCAAAGTACCCATATTGGGTACCCTGCTAGAGCTTTCTCAGTACATGGGTACCCTGAACTCAGTACTTTCTCTAGGGAAAGAGAAGACAAAAACTCGCACCGATGTTTTGTGCGTTTCAGTCGTTGGAGTCAACAAAATTTAAAAGCAAGCTGCACAAAAAAGAATTGTTCACTTTTTGTTCGTCTTTTTTTGTAGAATGCTATCATCAAATATACTAGTGAGTGGCTGTTTTGTTTCAAATAATAATAAACAAAATTGAGTCTGTTTTCATATATCATTTAATACATTTTTTATTAATCTTCGACTATTATTACAACTGAAATAGATCGATTTGAACAAAAAGATACTACATATATATAGAAATATGAAGGGGAAAGTGTCAAAAGATCGAAAGTCAAAACGTCGAAAAGCAAAATATCGAAAATTACAAACTCTGTAGCCACAATATCCGGATCTTACTCAAGTCTTTGATGAACAAACCACAAAAGGACAACGAACGTACAGTCCGATAGTGTGGGTGAGGGCAAAATCTGTGGCTTCTACTTTATTATTAAGACTTTCGAAAAAATTATTTTCGATGTTTTGCTTTTCGACGTTTTGACTTTCGATCTTTTGCCACCTATTCATATGAAGCAGTAGTACGACTAAATGAAAGAATAATTTTGAAATGAAAATGCTTATTTAATTATTGATTGTTCTAAGACGTTTTTGTATGTCAATTTGAATGTGGGTAGGTGTGGATGTGGGCATGGATGTGGATATAGATGGATACAGTTTTTTCATTTCACCCACATTCTATCCACGCCCACCCTCAACTAAGGATCCGTTATTTCGAAAATCAACATTTTAGATATTAGGAGTAAAATAATAAAAAATGAGCACGCGTACGTGAAAATTTTGACTATCAAGATTTTGTTTTCAAATAAAATGTATGTTATATTCAATATCAACATGACAAATCGGATTGAATGGCATAAACTTCATGAAAAATATATTTGTCATCGAAATTCGAATCCAACTTCTACTACTCTGGGTTAACGGGTATGATTTCTTTTAGGTACAAACTCGCGTCAAGTTTCTACGACAAATATTTTTTAATGAAGTCTATGTCATTCAATCCGATTTGTTATGCTGGATTCAAATATCATATACATTTTCTCAGTTTACTCCCAATATCGATAAAGTTGATTTTCGGAATAACCGATTCTTTTTTACTGGATACGCTGGTTTTTTTCCCCGTTGGTCTGTTAACTGAGTGTGGATGTGAGTGGTATGGGCTGCTGTTCAACTTATCTTAACTCACACCCACACTCTAACAGCGATCCGATATACAAAATCTATTTATTAATAGATTTTTATTTCTCTACCAAGTTGTTTTGACGTGCAAAAAAAGTCTCATTTTCACGACCAATATAACGGCGGCATTGATACTCATGTAAGATATTTCGAATATTTTAATTAATTGTCTCGATCTTTCAATCTGAACTAGGACAATTTAAAATTGAACTGAATTCGATTCTGCCTTGTGAGATACACATTTGAATAAATATGAAATTCGTACTTATTTATATTGAACGGTTTCTTGTTCAATTTGTTGTGTTAAATCATCAGTTGGTCCTTAAAAAAGTGTATAGGATTCATGATCAACATCAAAAGATGTTTAAAAAACTATTTTCATTAATTTGATTAATAAGAAACTGATTTCAATAATCAACTGTCGGTTTTGATGGAATTCGAGCAAGTAAAAGATTAAGAAAAGCTAAATGAACATTAATAACATCGGTTCAAAAAAAGAAAACATAACAACAAGAATTAACTTACCCGTTGTTTTACCTCAACGGGTTCCCGTGACACCAATCATATCTCGACTTTGTAAATTATTTGGGATAGCTTGTCCTTGAATTTTAGCTGCATTATACTAATAAAAAATAGATTAAGTGAAAAACCTCTAGTAGATATTATTGTTGTTTTAACACGATAATCAACCATCCGGAAGACAATCGGCCTTATTTATTTTTTTCATGGGCACTCTAATTTATGTTTGCAGAGTGTGAGGGTGGGCAGATAACAATATTTAATCTGCATCAGCGTACACATCTACACCCTTGTGATCGATTGCATGGCAATCGAAAATAGTTGGGTACACACAAGAGTTCGGCTTCAGACAATAATTCCAATCAATAATACATAAGTCTCGCTTCTTTGAGCATGAATGTATATTCTAATAATCTTCTTAAAATCAACTACTTACATCAGTGACTGAAGACAATATTTACGCTCATTAACGGTTTTCACAGGATTTTTCACTTTAAACCCATTCAAACCAGATTATCTCGAATGAGAGACTAGTCAAGCAAGAATTGATGATACACTACTGGCCAAAAGTATTGACCCCCCTCGGATCTCAGTTACTATACGAGCTGTTGGCCTGGAATTTGCAGTTTATATGATTCTCGATAAATGTAGATCAGCAGCGAAACCTGCGTCCCGAAAGAATGAGTCACAAGAGAGTTATTAGCCAAACGGTGTATCACCATTGTAGACTCTAGAACTTGACAACAACAAAACATTTTGAGCTCGGGCTTTCGCCATTTTAAAGCCCTATATATTGACTATCTCTAATAAAGATTTCATCAATATTTATCGAGTCTTTGTGAAACTAGACTCATTTTACTAAAGACATGGATGATATGAAAAACCTTCAATAAGCAATGTGTTCGCCACAATTTAGTCTGGGATCGACATATAGACTCCAAACTTATAGCATAATATACTTCGTAGATATGCAGCATTTTAAAACATTTTCAGAGTTATATCACTTACTAAAAGGGAATGGCACTTTGCTGAGTGTGTAGATGTTGTTACAGGCCTAGATACTTGAATACTCAAGCAAATGGCCTCATCTTTGGAGTTTGTAAACAGCATACTTAGAAGCACAGTTCTATCGAAAAATAATCGCAAAATTTGCAAGATAACACAGAAAATGCGAGATGAACTTTCTTAGTCATTTTTTTCCCTAGTAGACACCATTATGATTACGCGTGAGAATTTATTCCTTTTCACAATTATACATGTACTATCGTCCTAATTCTCACTATGATACTTGTGCTGACTCATCATCACCATGAAAACACTCAGAAGACCGTTGACACATACGATCCCGATGAGTAAATAACCTTCAAGTCTTGTCAATAAGCAAAAAACCTCTATTCCCGATATTTTCTCACGAGCGTAGAACAATAACAGAAAAATGTTTCTATAGTGAAAAAAAATGACTAAGAAAGTTCATCTCTCATTTTCTGTGTTATCCTGCGAATTTTGCGATTATTTTTCGATAGAACTGTGCTTCTAAGCATGCTGTTTACAAACTCCAAAGATGAAGCCATTTGCTTGAGTATTCAAGTATCTAGACCTGTAACAACATCTACACACTCAGCATAGTGCCATTCCCTTTTAGTAAGTGATATAACTCTGAAAATGTTTGAAAATGCTGCAAATCTACGGAGTATATTATACTATAAGTTTGGAGTCTATATGTCGATCCCAGACTAAATTATGGCGAGCACATTGCTTACTGAAGGTTTTTCATATCACCCATGTCTTTAGTAAAATGAGTCTAGTTTCACAAAGACTCGATGAATATTGATGAAATTTTTATCAGAGATAGTCAATATATAGGGCTTTAAAATGGTGAAAGCCTGAGCTCAAAAGATTTTGTTGTTGTCAAGTTCTAGAGTCTACAATGGTGATACACCGTTTGGCTAATAGCTCTCTTGTAACTCATTCTTTCGGGATGCGGGTTTCGCTGCTGATCTACATTTATCGAGAATCATACA